GGCCGGGTCCTCGCAGAATTACACCGGCCCCGGGCTCTCCCTGTGCTGAGGGAGAGCGGCAATTCCCCTCTATTCCTTAGAGAGCCAAATGGAGGAAAAAATAGATTTCCATTTTAAGTGATGTTTTCTCACTAGCTTCCATTGCATTTTTATTTGTCTTACTGGCTAGAGCCATTTTAGAGAAGGTTCGAAGATGGTACTGTCTTTTCGCTAAGGCAGAAGATGTCATTTTCCTCCGTTGAACACGTTGGGTTGTGCTAGTGCATAAATATCGTTTAACTTACGGGAATATAACTTTTTAGACAGCATGTTGAATGAGTACTTTGTCTGAATTCTTCCTGCTGTCACGGCGGGCGTACAAAGAGGGCTGTTACTGATTTATGTCTTTGAGAGGGATCCTTTGCTAGGCACCGCTTTGTAGCTGGGGCTGTGCACAGGGCGTCCCAGTCTTCTCGCTTTGTCTTAGCAAAGTCTGATTTGGGCAAGCTCTGTTTTGGTGTCTGTGGTGGTGGATGGCATCTTGGATGCAGACACCTTCGTAATAAATCAAAGTGTGAAGTCTTCTTTTTTTTTTTGCGTGAGTGGGATTGGCTCACCTAGGTTTTGTCTTCTTGCTCCTTGGTGCAGTGATTGTTTTGTCTGGTGACTCTGAGCTGTGGTGTATAGTACAAATTGTGCATTTGTACTACCGTGAAAGAAGAGATTTTCGTACTGGGGTACTCTAGGCAGTGGTTCCATGGTCACTCAGTCCAGCACACCTGCAGTTGCAAAGAACGGTGTACTCGCCTTTCCCTCTTGCTTTGCAGTATATTCTGCCCTCTCCCGTGTGCTCAGGCGTGGATTTGTGTGTGGCAGAGTGGGCTGATGTGAGAAAACAATGTAGCTGAAAATCAGTCCAACAAAAGTGTGTTATCTCCTGGTCCCTTGCCTGATGGGACACTCCCAAGGGAGAATGGGGATTGCCCTTTCTCGTGGTGATACAGGTTCTTACCGGATTTGTTTGGAGCTGCAGCCACTGAAGAGCTCATGGGTGATTGTATAGTGCCATTAAAATTCAGGTATTGGTGTTATTACCTATGAAAGGTGAGTTGCCCTGGAGATGCAGGAAGATAATGTGGTCTTGAACAGTTAAGCCTAGCCAGGCTACAAAACTTGCCTCTGGCCGTTTGTTTTCACGTGGTATTTCACCCTTATCTCCATCCTCTTTAGTTTCCTGTGTGGTGCCCTTGCAAATTGTATTACTAATAATATCCACGATGAAAATAAGTAGTTTTTAAAAAGAGGAAATGTTTTTCTGTCTGATTCATGTCAGTATGTGTTGTGGCTTGATGGACAGTTGCATGTTCACAACTGATGGGTGGCAAACCTGGGATACAGGACAGAACTTTCTTAAACTGCCATCACCATCACTCAGTCTCCCATTTCAGGGTATCTTCGATAGGCTGTGAACCTGTGCTGGCTGTAACAAAACTTTCAATGCTGACTGTGTTGGTAGTTCAGACTTGGAGAAATTTGATCTAGGAGTTTTGACTAGAAGCCTTCCACTCCCTCTTTGACGGGGGGGAACACCACCAGAAACATCCACTTTACACGAACATTATTTTTGACAAACTTTGCTCTTCTAGTGTTACTTTACACCCTCCTGGCTCAAGTTGAATCAGTCATCTCAGCAAATTGTTACAGATTGATGATTTTTTATTGCCAGTTCTAACTTCAGAGAAGGATTGAAAAACTATCCTAGAAATTAGGCGTGAGCAGGTTAGCTGATCATGTACTGATGAGCCAAATGGATTTTTTGTTTGTTTACAGGATTACTGCATTTAAGGAAAGCCCTTCTGTAGGAAGCAATTATCACAATAAGAGATCTTGAGACAATTAAATAGAGTTCTTCAACCTATATTGTGCTGACTCTTGCGTTTGCTAAAGCCCAGCGTAAGTAATTCTTAGAGTGTAACATCCACAATTTTTCCATGGAAGCTTTTGTCCCCCAACAGGTGTTTGACTGACAACTGACACTACTTCTTCAAATTGATGTTACAAAGCATAAAATATGTATGTAGGTTTGTTTTGTTTTTTAAAAGTACTGTTTACAAAAGTAGGGTTAATTAGAGAAAGATAAAAGCTGGGATTACGCTGTCATTTCCCAAAGAGTGGCACTAAATGTGATGGAAACAGAGCAGACAGCAAATATGTTGGGTTATCGTGACTGGTCAGGGTAAAGTTTTAATAAAATTTTTAGGATTTTATGTCTTAAGACCCTCTCTTCTCTTCAGAAGCTTGAGAATATGAAATGTGCAGATGTGGGAAGTTGCACAAATATATTAGTAAGTGGGATTTTGGAGCTGTCACAGAAAGGACATGAATTCAGAAGCCCAAGGAAGAGGAATTTAGGTTGCAATGAGGAAAGAGGACTTGAAAGAGGGGAATATATGCATAAGGGTGGGAGATGTAATATCTAGAATGAAGACACTGTTGGGATAAGGGCATGGGATGGAAATGGAGAAAATAAATTTGAGTACGAGTTCCAGGTCATTTTCCCTGTCCTATATATGAATTGAGGTATGAAAGCAGCAGCCTCAGAGATTTCTTACTAAATTTTCTTGTTTCTAGGAGTTGTTTTGGTTTCATAATTTGTTGTTGTTGTGGGTTTTTTTTATTATTATTATTTGTGAGACGGAGTACATGCATTTCCAGGTTACAGCATTGTTGCACGTTTTGTTACACATAACGGGATGCTGGCAGTGGAGCCATGTACTGGATGATCTAAGTAGGGATGGTGTTAGTTTCCTAATAGCTGAGGAAAACTTTTTGGTGATTGGAAGAACATGGAGTGACAGCAAAGGTTTGGGGCAAGTACTGAGAAATGTAATGGAGGAGAGGAAGGTCAGGGCTTTACAGTGAGAGGTTTTGGCAGACTTTCATTTGCTCTTGCAAGGCTGACACATGCTGCTTTTATTTATCCCTGCTGATCTGCGTGCTTGTTCTTTTTAAAGGTTTGTTTTAGCTTCTTTGCTTTCTTGTAAGAAAATTGGCTGAGATTAGAGGACTGGAGCATGTGGGGTCAACAGAGGATGGAGAAATGACAAGCAGGTATGCAACCTGTTCAGTAATATGGCAGTGGTAACTGTGGTTTAGGTGATAGAACAGGAAGGGAGAAAAATGCAGTGCAGTGCATACATAGGTATGACTAGTGGTCGTGTTCAGTGCTGCAGATACAAAAACTTTTTAAAAGTGGAACTTCTCCAGTTTAAAAAAAATACATTAAAAAATCATAAAGTTCACATATTTACTGCCCTAACTGCTCTCTCTGGGCAATTTGTATAGATCAGTCACAAGCAATCCAAACATCCCAAACATTCTGAATGTAAACTATTTCTTTCCTTTGCCCAGAGTTTGTTCTGATATGTAATCATCACTTCTCTGTCTTCAGTGGAGGTGATTGTCATCTGTATGCCCACAGTCTTGATGCCTAGAAGATGGCCTTGAAGATAGTAATTTCTTGAGGCAGCCCTCAAAATTCAGTGTTACAATGGGCACAAGTCAGAACGTGTTTGTATGAGACACATGCACCTTGAATGTGTTGTATCTCAGCCAGACTGTTGCAGGATCATTTTGTGCTGGACAAGGCAGTTGGTCTTCAAAAGTAATTAAAGTGTGTTTTGATAAGTGCTGGGATTCAGCTTAATGAACAAGACAGAAATCACTAATATGTTAGCTTAGAATAAAGCTATATGCACAATGGATTCTAGTACAGATTTGTACTGCAAGGGAATTTTGTTAGGTAAACTTGTAAAAGAATTCTTTTGCTTTTGTTGGAGATTATGTACTGTTCCTTTGGTCTCTTGGAGGATTGAGCTGAACCTGCTGCATGCTCTCAGGGTGGTTGTGGACATTCAGTGCACCTGCTGCTTGCTGCTGCAGTTTTCAGCAGTAAAAACAGTGTGCAGTGCATGACTGGTTTGGCAGAACTGAAGCTGGTTCACTGCTTCCTGTTAGGCAGAATCTATGTTGTGTTGGTTTAAAAAAGCCAACACAACATAGATCAAGGATCTCTGTCTTTAGGCAGTCTTACCTGCTTTTTATGGAACTCCCCTTAACTCTGATCAGTCCTTTATTCTGTTGCTATATTTTAGAATAATGTGAGACATAACTAGTTAAGCATAATTTAGCAGTGATGGTGTTTTGTGTACTGTGTATGTGTACAAAGGAAGGTCTGTTCAGAGGCAATGAGCTCAGGTCTTCTCTGCTGTAGATTCTTCCAAGGCAACTTTATTTAGTTTGCTCTGGTTTATCTATACCAGCTTTAAATAATGGTAATGGGAATTTTAGACACCTATAGAAGGTGTTTCTAGTGGCATTGGTGTTTTTAGTATTATGTTGCTGAAAGCAGCATGAAGTGAGGAAAACTGTTAAAAACATCACTGCTAGGAAAATCTTTGTTTACACTGGTTCATGTTGTTACTAAAGTTGTAAAGGGCTAGAAATCCAGACACTTTATTCAGAAATTCCTGACACTGTTTTTTATGCAATGTTTATTTAGCTGCTTCTTCTCTACAAAGAAAGAAGAACAGCAGCAAATTTGTGACTTTGTGACTTTCTCTTTGGTTTTGCATCCTCCAAAATGGTGATTTATTAAATGTATTTTTGAGTTGAAAATTTCTAGGTAATTTAAATATGGAGCATGTTAGCACCTGGGATGAGAAGTTAAATGCAGTCAATACCCTCCTCTTTATTTAGTAACTAAATAGAATTGAAGTATTTGGAACAGTTGTTCTTCTAGTTTGATTTTTCACTTGATCCATCCCCCCAAGTCGAATTTATTAAGCAGAGCAGAATCACTTTCCTTTGTGTGGCTGAGATTAAAACCCCCTGATTGATGGGCTTGCACTCTCTCTTCAATTTACAGAGGCGCTCTCCGAGTCTCCGCTCTGAGTCTTCCCTGGAGCACAGTTTGCGGATCACTGTTGGCAATGACCGCTATTGCGTTGGCACGCCGGAGCGAAGGAGGCTGCCTGAGAGGCTGGGCTCACCTATTGATAACCTGAGTGACAGGTATGCTCCTCTGCTCGTGGGGATCCACCTGGGTGAGACTGCGTGGGAATGGCTCTCCTGGATGAGATCAAACATCTCATTAGCCCACTGAATCCCTGGGGAAGGAGGGTAAGCATGTAGTGATGCTTCCCAGGAGTATTCCCCCAGCCTCTCGCAAGCTGTGGTACAGAGAATTCCTGAACAAAAGTCTCTGCCTGTGTAACTCTAAACAGATACTTCTTTAATTTTGTCAGCTGCTTCTAAATCCCATATAAGCTAAGCATGTACATCATATATTGCAGGAGGGAGTATGATGTCAATCCCTCCAGTGCTTCCTTCCCCTTAAGGGTGGATGTCACATGGAGAATCTTCATTTGACATTTCACTGCTTCAGCCACCTTCTGTTTCTTATGAACCTACCTAGTCCTTACTGAAAGGAAGGTTGTTTGTTATAAAGGTTGTGTAAAGCTTCAACTTCCTCATTTAATTGTCTACTTTCCTGATTTTTGAGACTAGTCTAGAAGAAAACTCGAAAGCAGCTTGAAGGAGATTATTAGTTTGACTTTAAAAACCTTGCAGAAGAGAACATGGTCAGACAGTCTCATACAGTATAAAGGAAGTGTTAGAATTCTTAGGATCCTTTGACTGAAATTGGAGAGAAACAGTTAATGGAGAGAATTCTTTTATGTTAATATACTTCACTGCTGTGAACAGTGAAGTGTAAATATTAGTAGATACAATTAGGAACTCTTTGCCTTCAGTAGGAGAACCAGTATAATCTGGTGAAAGAAAATCAGAAAACTGTGCAAATGATTAATTCTCTTTGTCTTGAATTGCAAAATTAAAGATGGCATAGCTTGTGCTCTGGAGCATACAGTTGCACTTTCAGCTCAGGGATAAGCATCCAGCACAGCAAAAACCATTACCACTTCCATTTTTAATGCAAATATCATCAACTGTTAAAAAAAAACAAAAGAGAGAGAGGGAAGTGAGCAGAAGAAATGAATTTCCTGTCTTTCTCAGGTGTAAAGTTAAGTTTCAGCAGGTGTAGAAAACCAAATGAGAGTTTGGGTTTTGTCACTTTTGTCACTTTTGTCACTTTTATGCCTTTACCTCAGTTCTCCTGGCATCAGTGTTTGATCTGTAAATCCTCTGTGCAGTCTGCAGTCTTGTAAATGAAATGAGTGTGTATGCTCAGGGAGAGTGCAGTGGTTGGAAGGAAAAGGAAGTGATATGTTGGGAACTGGCAATTCTCTGGCAAATTAGGTATGTTTGATGGCAGTGGATGGTGGTGTTTGTCCCATTGATTCATGTTCTCAGGTGAGATTTTACATTTAACCTCTTCTGTGGTGCTGATGTGTGGTTAGAAATAACATCAGGTATAGTGCAGTTTATTTAATGTAAGAGTGAGAAATCACAAAAGTTGACTTCTCTATTACAGAACCCATAGATGCGAAACAGAATGGTAAGAGTAGACTCCAGAGAAGGTTTAAAAGTGACATGAGTTAGAATGAGAAGATAAAGTGAGACCATGTAGAGTTTAATCATTAAATGACTTCCTTGTATTTGTAGTGTAAGTATACAAGAACTTCATGTTGTTACTTTTTTTTTTTTTTGTCTGATCTGTGCTGGCTGCACTTTTCTGAGTGTTGCCCATTGTCCAGAAGCTTAAAGTATGTGACAACCAAGTCACCTGTTAGCTTTTCCTGAATTGTCTAGGTACTGCTTCTGAATTCTAAGTTTCTTTACTGCTAGCCATTTTATTTGTTTTCCAAAGACACTTGGGTTTTGATTAAGAACATTGTTTATCAAGTATTTTTCATCATGTATTTTTTCCCTTCCCTGAGAGGCTGCTCTGGTACTGGGACACTGACTTTATGTCTATCACTGGGCTGTAAAATGGTCTTTATTGTTACTGCTTCTATCACATTTTTATTTTGTATGTGGTACGTTGTCATTCTAATTTAAAAAAAAGCCAAAAGAAAAAAGTGTTTCCTAAAGATGTCATTTCAAATTTTGAAGTAATTGGAGCAAATAATTCTGAATTTAGTTATTCTCAGCTATTTTTGCTAACTACTCTACTTTGATATTTCAAGCAATCACTTTGACACATTATTCTCTGTAATTTACAGGGCCTTGGGATGGTAGAGAGGTTCATTAGTCTATAAAGGAAATAAAATACCAAAGGAGAGAAATCAGGGAGGCTTTTAGAGTCTCCTGCAGCAGTAGATTTTCAGGATGCCCCAGGAGACTTTCGAAGGGTGTTTGTTCCCATGCAGGTCTGTCCTAAAACATCTGTAAGAGCTTACCCCATGTTTCTAGGGAAGCTGTGTCTAAATAGGCACACTGAATGCTGCTGGACTGTGAGGTCAAGGTCACCTGAGCAGCTTCAGTTTCCTGCTTGGACCAATAAATGTTTTTTTTGTCTTCCAGAATCTCAATCTGTCAAAGTGAAAAATAATAAATCTTTTTCTCTCTCCCCATCTTCCATCTGTCCAGCTCTCAGTATTTTTAAGACATTCTACTACTATCTGTGCTGGCACAAGCTCTAGAGAGCATCCCACCAATTCTTTCATCTGAGGTTGATGCAAAGGATAGACCAAATCACTGCAGAGACTTGGTCTGCATTAGGCTGTGTTCTGAAATAGCGTTTTTTGGCATGATATCAAGAGTAACAGTTGGCTGGAATATGAACAGCTCATCTGACTCCCTATTCAAAGACTGTGTATTAAAGTGGAGTCCTGTTGATTGCTGACAGCAGAATGCCACTATTTATTTCTATTTCTGTGTATGTGAATAAACATACCAAAAAGTAAATTACCTTACACTAGTTGTAGGTCTCTGAGGCATCATGTGTGTGTAGCCTGTGGTCTGTTTTCTGTCTCTGAAACTGCAAAATTCCAGTGATTCATGAATTCTTTGTTGGTGAAGGAATTGGGATGGTCACAGTGGTACCACCTTGTATACTCTCTCGAGGATGCAGTAGCTAGTAGTGGACATCACTGGCTGAAAGCATGCAAACCAATTAAGAGGGATGTAACTCTATTGGCCTGTATGCACAGAAAACATGTTTCAAAGAATTCTGTAAGGCAAGTAATAATTTTTCCCAAACGTGTATTTAATTTTCAGGTTTTAAATTTGCATTTTAGCTGTTCAAAGTGTACTTGGAATGTCTTGCTAATTTTAAATGCAGTAGATTTGCTGTTCTTTTCTTTCCAAAGTATGATTAAAAATTCCTGTGCTTTGTCACTGCAGTCAGTTTGAATTGTAGGCAACAGCTGTCAGACATGCATCTAAATAATTTTATTTACACAGCTGATTTATTTAAAATCAGCTGAAGGTATATGGTGAAACACATCTGTTACTCCATCAGATGTGTTCATGCAGCTTGTACAGGTTTAGCAGGCTCTCAGAAAACATGCCACTGGGAATAGATATACCTTTATGTAGGTTGTGAAAACAACATTTATTTATGAAATTTAATTTAGCTATTTGTAGATGTTTTTGTGCTTTTGGAGGAGGTGGATATGTGTAGTTTGCTGAAAACTGGAAAGATGCCATGTAATACAGTGGGTACAGGTGCATGCCAGATTTGTTTTATAAGATGTGTTGGACTGATAAAGTATCTAATAAATGCTTTGCAGTGATGCAAGGTAAAGTTTTGTGTTGATTTTGTTCTTAAATATGCATGTGTAATTTATGAAAATACCCAGGAAAAAGACCTTGTCTATCCATCTCTATTATTCTTTAGTCTGTTGTGAAGAACTGGGGCTGTAATTTATTTGCAGATTTTTTGCAGATGTCTACTGGCGTGACTTGATTTTGTCCCTTCTCAAATCTATGGAGGGACTTTTTGGAGTAGGAGGAGGTGATTTTTGTGGATTCAGGCCATTATACATAGTTTATCTCAAAATGATTCACTCAGAAAAGAGTCTTCTGTCTCATTGATGTCACTTAGGGAGCACATTTTCTTTCTTGGACAATCTTGCTAGATTTTGAAATATCAATAACTAAAACCAGCAGATTGTAGCTTTTAAAGTGGTTTGGTTTGTTTCTGCCTTATCTGAAGAAAAGTTGCAGAACAGTTTTTAGGCATCAAGGAAAAGGCCTTAGCCAAAACAGTACCCCTAATTGTAGGTGTCTGTAGGAATTGGTGCAAAAGTAGATATTCCAGGAGAAGAAGCTGGTTATTCTGATGTTGTGACAGTTGCACCAGCCACTGTAATAATACAGAGAGGCTGGCACAGAAGATGGTATCATTACACTTAATCTCCTTGGTTTATAGATACCAGAAACTGTGCTTCTTTTTAGTTATGGAGTTCATGTGATTAGTGACAGTGCTGTCTGCATATCTGTTGCAAAAGTAAATGTTGGTAGAATTTGTGGTCCTTGTCCACAGCTGAAGATAATAAAAGGATCTGGTTGCATTTGCCAGTGTGAAACTGAATTATACCTTGAATAATTCATAGGAAATCTGACCTTGGCATCTGACTGGGAGAGGCGAAGAAAGGGATTGTGGTCTGAAATATGATAGTAAGAGTTTTTTAAAATGTGTGGTCTCTCACATCCACAGAAACGAATCCATCCTATCAATTTTTCAAGGCTCTAATTCCTCAGTATGAGTTGAATTGTTCATGTCACTGCATTTGCAGGTAACTTCCTAGGAGGGATGTACAGTACCATTAAAAATAATTCTCCCTCTCTACCCTGCATTTTAAGTACATAAAATGTTGGTTCTGTTTAGTAAGGGAGATGTTATTTTGAACTTGGTTTGGAAATTTCTTACCTTTGAGTAGGCGTAAGACTTTATTTAACCTGATTCAAATACTTCTGTGTTTCTCTCACACAGGGATGATGTGGCTGATGGTCCAGTATTCACTAGAGGCCTCACGTGTCCTCGCAGCCTGGAGAGATACCCAGCACATGAAGATCAGCCTTCCAGTCCCTTCATCCCGAGGCACGATGAGGATTACCGCAGCCGAGATGTTTTCCTGCACCGCTCCGATTACAGTCCGCACTACGGCCGCCGGGAGGAGCTGCCTCCTCGTGCATCTGACAGAGATGGAGACAAACTGAGGAGGTCCCCCTACCCTCTGAGGGCAGAGGAGAGGGGCCGAGAAATGAAGCGCCCACGGTACGAAAAGGATGAGAAGATGCATGGTGTGAGTGCAGAGCATCAGGGTTTCTCATCAGGGACGCGGAACTACCGCAGGCGGAGCCGCAGCCGGAGTAGAAGCCTGAGCCCGTCGTACCTGAATGAAGAATTCCGAGAGCTTGACCGAGCAAGGAGGAAAAGAGAAGAGGAAGAGCGCAGCAGAAACTTGAATCATGATGTTTCAGGCACGGGCTACACGATCCCTGGCTTGACTAACACATTACAGACTTCTGAGCCTCGCTATACATACAGGCCTGAAGAAATCCCACCCATGCCCAAAAAATCTATCTTGAAGAAACGAGTAGAGATGGAAGTCGAGTCTGCTGTTCAGGTTTGGTCTCTGTGTGTCTGTCATGTGCTTCTACTTTCCAAAGCAGTTACTTCATGATACAGACTCTTAGTTTGATTTCTGAAATAGGAAAGCCAAATCTTTGTTTCCCTTTCCTTAAGAGGACAGGTATCTTTCTGCAGCGTGGTAAAAGTTTGACATGCATTAGAAACTTTAAATGGTTATGGCATTTAATCAGGAATCATATATACATATACATACACACCCCTATATAAATATATTAAAAAAAATATATATACCCCCCTATATATTTACACACCCTCATATATATATACACATACACACACCTATATATATATGTATAAAACCTGAGACAGAATCAAATGTCTTTGTGGAAATTTAACCCATGACACAGAGATCTGGGCCAGCTTTCAAAGAAAAACTGTCTCTCATAGCACCACAGGCAGTCAGGATATTGATTGAAGCTCTTCTCCTGTGGCAGTGTCTCTTTCTTGTTTCTTTATAGACTTAGAGAACTGCCTAATGCTTCTTCAGTACCTCTGTTTCAAAACAATTTTTAAATTTCCTTACTCTTTTCCCTTTGAGCTATAGGCTGGGATCAGCCCTACTTAATTTGTACCAAACCTGTACCAACTGAGTCTCAAAATTAGAGCAATGGGCAGATAAGTGGCTGTGACTACTGTGATAAAGTGACTTTTTGTGTTTTAACACATCGCTGATTTGCCTGTTTTACTGATCAGTGTTGGTTTGACAGTGACATATTTATCTCGGGAGTGCTCAGATACTGAGCATCCTATTCCATACCTATTACTGGAAATGCTATTTAATACGGCATTAATTATGAAATATCTGAAGAAATGACTGTGAATAACCTCAATGCAGTAGTTTTATCTGACTTAAGATGTTGAAATCCTATGTGACTATGACTAAACTCAGAGCATATCCAAAATGGTGTAACAGGGTTTCAGTTTAAATTTTCAGTTCTTATGCTTGCAAAAAGTTTGAAATACAATTGTGATTTTGTGTGTTCTCTGAGATAAGCATTCATTGTTGGACAGGGCATTCCAGAATCATCGGGCAACTTGGTTTGGAATCTTCTGTGGTCTCTTTCAACTGCATATTGTCTCTTCTAACACTTTTATTCAGCTGTGAACTGAAGGAGAAATGAACACGTTCCTTTGTTCTGTGAGGTGCATAGTAGCTTAGAAGTAAATAGTATCTTCTCTCTTTCAGCCGGAGGGCTTTTCAAGCAGTCCAGCCCCCAGCAAGGATTTTCCTCTTCTTTCTAGTCAGTCTTCTTTGCCCCAGAGCAACAACGTAGCTCCTTTTGCTTCTGAAGTGGAAAACTTTCTCAAAGGGTTTAACCAAGGCTCTCTGGTGGAGGCTTCAGACAAGGAGTTGCACGAAGGTTTGTGTGAGTGGAACCCACTCTCTGGGCCCCCCAAAGACACTCTGATATTTGAGAAGTTTGGAAGCTTCTTAAGTCACAAAGAAAAAGTAGAACCCAAGTCAGAGCCCACCGATCGCCATACTGACTTCCTGCTGCCTCATGAGCGGGCCAGTCAGGATGGCAGTGGTTTCTCCCGAATTCTGGGCATGATGGCTGATTCTGTCAGTGCTCAGGAGAAGAGGAGGCGTAGCTTTCCTGACATTGAGGACGAAGAGAAATTTCTTTATGGCGATGAGGATGAAGAGACCAAAATTGAATCTCTCCCCCTAGAGAAGCCCCCAGTGAGTTGTGGCAATGAGATAATAATACAGAAAATGAGCCCACCTCCTTCTCCTGCTCCAGCTGTCAAGATGGATCCTTTAGAAGAGCCAAACGCAGAGTATGCAAAGATCCACGACTTGCTCAAGACCATTGGGCTTGACATTGGTGTTGCTGAGATTGGCAAGCTGGCTGTTCGTACCCAGGAGCGCCTCCATGGCAAAAAGCCGGCGTCTCGTTCTCCGGATCGCCGCTCCTCGGACGCCCGCAGGCGGGACGCCTGGGAGGTGCGCCGCAGCCGCAGTGACACTCGATCTCCCGAGTCGGGCCAGCAGCGTTCAGCGTCACCTCCGGGCTCCTTCCCACAGCCCAAAGATGCGTCCTCTCTTCACACATCGGACTATGCTAAGGGCAAGCCGGTGGGACAGGAGATACCTCCACACGTGCCAGAACAGCCTGTTCCTTCTGTCTCTCTCATTCCTTCAATTCCACCAACTCCTGCTAGTTTGACACCTACACCTACTTCTGTTTCCCAATACCAAATTCCCAGCTATTCCCACTACACTGCTGCTCAAATGTCCCAAAACTATGCCCCTCCCACAATGGCTCCTCCAGGATATGATGCATATGGGCACTATATGGCATATGCAGCCCCTGGCTGGCCCATGTACCCCCCTGCCCAGCAGCCTAATCCTACGCTACCAGAAGCTCATGGTCTTCTTACGATGGCCATGTCAGCGAACCCCACGCGTCCCAATCTGCGGGTGATTGAGACAGTCTCTCTGGGAAAGGATGTCCCTGATGTTAAAAGAGACGGTTCTGTGCTTGTTCAAGTCCCTACCACTCCTTCTCATTCCAAAGCACCCCTTCGTCTGTCATCACACGCTCTCAAAAATACCACAGAAAGGATGTCGGATGAAAAAAACCGGGCAGCTCAAAAGCAGAAGGTATGTTAGGTATTCTGATACTTCAGATTGTGTTGGATTGCATGATTGGTGGGGTAGAAGTTTTTTCTCTAAAGGTGCACCTTTTTTTTTCTGAGTTGCTTCAGTTTAAAAATAGTTTGACCTAGTTTACTCCTGTTAAATATTCCTAAGCATTTGTCTGTATTATGCAGTGACACCTGTAAAAAATGCATTTTTCAATCTCTCAAAGTTGCATGCCATTGCCTATGGCAGAACAGATGGAATCAAATACAAAGTTGAATTTCTTTGAAGCAGCCAAAATCTTACAGAGAAAACACATGACGGCCACAGTTTGGCTTTATTCTGCTGAGATTTAAGTATTGAAATACCTGAAGATATCTGGGGATATGTAAAAGTCTGAAGGGACAGTGTAAAGAAAATGAAATGGCTTTTTTTACTGATGTTCAGTGGCAGAACAAGAGGCCACTGAAACACAGAAGTCTCCATCTGGACATTCTGCATCGTACAAAATACCTATACAGGTTATACCTGTATTAGACATTCTTTAATACATACTAAAGCATATCATCATTCACCATCACATACAATCTTCCCTCTACATTTATATTAATTCTCTTATGAAAATCACAAAATTAGAAGAATTTAGGGGAAACTTCTTGGAGGCTCTGATACCAGTTCAGGTCATGTGTGTTAGTGTTTTCCTCTTCTAATTATCTTGGTTTGTACAATAATTAGAAAGTAGTGGGGAAGAATGTATTGTAAAATAGGAAATGGTAGTTACACAACTCCCAAAGAACTGGATGATTCCCAAAAGTTTTTTGAGTTTTCAGACTGGTGTCCACTTGGTCTTTGTTAAAATAAGGGCATAGAATTATTTGTCTATGAGGGGACAATTAAAAATCATCTTGTTCCAACCCCACTGCCTTAGACAGGGACACATTCCACTAGACCAGATTGCTCAGAGCCCCATCCAACCTGGCCTTGAAGACTTCAGGACTGGAGTCCACAGTCTCTAGGGCAACCTGTTTCCATGCCTCACCATCCACATTGAAAAGAAATGCTTCCTTTATATCTAGTTTAAATCTACCCTATTTTAGTTTGAAACTGTTGCCACTTTTCCTGTGACTACAGACCTTGGTAAAATATTTGTACCCATTTTTCTTTCAAGCCCCCTTTAGGTATTGAGGCTGCAATAATCATCTTTTATTTTAAGAGCCTTTTCTTCACTTGTATGAAGTGCTATGTCAGCAAATAAGGGAGCTTCCACTTCTTGCAGTAATAATAATTTCTTCAGCTGACACAGCTGAAATTTTATTCTTAATGAAATTTAGTACTTTTGGAAGAGCTCTCTTGGCTAAAGGTGTGTGCTTTTCTCCTGCCCTGACATACCTTGGTAGCTCATCTGTGCATCTTGGTAGCACTTCTAAGGCTTTGTCTGCACTACAGAAATCTTTGTCTAGGGATTAGTCCACTGTTTTTTTGCTGGGATGGTTTGGTGTATAAAAATTTGCATGTTCCACTTGATGCCCCCATGCTGCAAAAAAACTCAGAAGGAGGAAATGGTGCTTTGATGATAAAAAAATAGCATACAAAGCCAAAACAATAATAAAAAAACTTCTTATGTTATTTAAGGTGTAGCTTAACTGTGCCGGTATAACTATTTCAGGAAGGATTCAGGGATCCTGCCAACATTGCTGTTGTAGAAGTGATTATCTAGGGGAGTCAAGATGACTTGTTTGTTAAAGGAGGAGTCTGTAGTAAGCTTTAAGAGCCTCTGTAGTAAGCTTTAAGAGCCTTGTGAAGGTAAAAAAGTTGGGATTTGTCTCTTGAATGAAGCTGGGAAAAAAACCTGAAAGAACTTTTTGGGTTTCATTGTAGCATATTGCTTTGTTTCCTTCTATGAGAATCAATGAAAACCAGTGAAAAAAGGATTTGTGAGCTCCTTGTGCCACAGTTTTTACCTTATTGAACAAGAAACAAATTTCATCCTGATGTTTTTTGTCAGATTGAAGCAAAACCTAACTAACAGCTAAAAGGAGCTAGAGTCAAAGCAGAAGGCAAGGTGAAGGGCTGTGTAATCTGATGGAGCATGCTAGCTGTAGAGACTCTGCATGAGTTTTGAACAGTCATTTGTCATTGATCTTAATTAGCCCTGTAGAAGGTAGTCACCTGAGCCTAAGGGCCTTGGGAAGTGTTGCAACAAACAGAGCAGTTTAGAGGAATACACTGCCCAAAAGCAAAAAACATTGCCTACAAACTGGGTTGAAGCATGACCACACAATGCAGTTACTTTCAGATACAGAGGGAGAGGTTTATTTATTGTGTTAAAATACTCAAGAACATTTTGGGAGTAGCGAGCAGTGTTCTATGTCTGGAAAGCCGAGGTCTTCCTGTTATTCTTGCAAGACTGTTTAACTTGGGAAGAGAAGAAAATCCAGACACCTTCCAATTTATTTAGGTGATAGAAGAGAGAGAAAAACTGAAGACTGATCGAGAAGCACGGCAGAAGAAGCTCTACTATCTCAAGACTGAATTGGACAGGCTTCGTAAACAGCAAGGTAAAGTGCATTACCACCCTCCCAGCCCCTGCTTCTTTTTTCTCCCCCATTGGGATGTGTCACAAGGCCTGGTATCTAGCAGGAGAAGGAGAACCAAAATAAGAATTGTCCATAATGTATTTTCATGCTCCTGGCAATGCACAACTCTTGAAAAAGCAGTGACCTAGTTACTATATTAAGATCAATTACATCAAAATTTGAGCAGACAGTTGCTCTTGCATCTTCTTGGCTTGATAAGCTATAGGAATTGTACTTTATGCATTTTAGTGCTTCTTTAGAAGAAGTGAGAAATTAGTGACTGAAGATGTTATTGTGCCTTTCAGTTTTTCATGAATCTTATCTGGAGATGGAAAAGTCCTCTCTCAAGAGAGCTGATTTTTTGTGTCTTTAAAACGTGTTTGGTCTGAGTGAATACTTAATTCCCTCACCTTTGGAAAATGATACTTTCAGGTTAGAATAGGCAATTAACTTTTGCTTGTTTTGTCACACAGGGAAATAGTAATTATAAATTGATACTCTGGAGGATTAATGGTAATCCTTATGGAGGCACATCATGCAGATTTAGTTATACTGTACCTGAGAGTAAATTCCATCTTTACAACTTCATAGTGAAGATTTAGCCATAATATTTTGTATTCATATTTTAATTGTTGCTGGAATTATTGTACAGATCTAAAGTCAGTTTTCCTCTTGCATTTCTGACCCTTCTGCTTCCTTGATTGGCTTAGGCGAGATGTTGAGGAAAAAACGTCGTGAGAAGGACGGACACAAAGACCCCTTGTTGGTTGAGGTGAACAGACTACAAGAGAATATTATGAAGGAGATTGCAGAGCTGCATAAAGAATCTGATGCAGCTGACAAGAAGCAGTCTGAGCTTGACAAAGTAGCACAAATCCTGGGGATTAACATATTTGAAAAACCCCGGAAACCGTCTGTGGAAACTAAAGATTCCTCGGAAAAGAACAGCAAGTCAGAAAATGCAAAAGGTGTAGAGAAGACATCTTCCTCCAACAAGGTAAAGTCTTCAAGTTTGTGTGCTAATGGTTTTCTGACTAAGAGAAGAGGGCACTGGGCAGACAGCTGGTCCCAGACATTTGCTAAAGGATCATTTGGTGTCATTTGTTACCACATCTCATACACTGGCTTTGATGGTGCATGCAGGTAGAGTTGATGTATCAGTGTACATAATGTCCCTCAGGTTTTGTGCAGTTCAGCACCACTTACTAATCTTTATCTTGATATTGCTGAGGTGTTGGTTGGCTTGAGCAGTATCATGAGTGTGTATAGCTGTTTGGTCTCAGTACCATGCCAGGAGGACAGACTTCTTTTTTCTCTACAAAATTTCTGTCATGGCCTTTCAGACCACGTTTATAGGAGTGTTTATAGCAGCAAAGCTCTCTGGAAGTTGGGAGCATTGTTGGTCTTCTTACTTGGTAATAATAGCAACAAATCACAAGACTTAAAGGTGATGGTCAGCATAAGATGTTTTTTCTGTACACATGTTCTCTCTTCAGAAGTGTCAGTATGCATCAGTATGGTCTCTCTGGTGTGGTCTGTACTACTCTGGGCTGGATGTACCAGCATTCCAGAAGATAGTTTTACTTTGAAAGTAGGAAGGATACTACCATCTGAAAGGTTATGCTTGTATTCAGGAAATCAATTATCCTGCTTTTCAGATGTTTATTCAAATATGTAACAGAAATAGCTAATGTGAAATTGTAGATTAATTTTGTGTAGATCTTAGCATATATATTTTTTGCAGAGAGGAAAATATTAGTAGGATAAGTGATATAAGGAAAACTGAAATGGCACCTCATCAATTTATCTGAAGGGAGGATGTCAAGAGCATGGAGCCAGGCTCTTCTCAGTGGTGCTGAGCAATAAAACAAGAGGCAATGGGCAGAAACTGATGCACAGGAACTTCCAGCTGAATGTGAGGAAGAACTTCTTCACTGTGTGGGTGACTGAGCACTGGGACAGATTGTTCAGAGAGGTTGTGGAGTCTTTCTCACTGGAGATATTCCAGTACCACCTGGACACAATCCTGTCCCGTGTGCTCTGGGATGACCCTGCTTGAGCATGGAGGTTGGGCTGGATGACCCACTGTGGTCCTTTCTAACCTTACTCATTTTGTGATTCTGTATTTTCTCCAAAGCCACTCAAATCTGTTTATCCTGTAAAATTTTCTCTATGCTTTATTGTGGTCTGAGAACTCATTAGGTATCTTTAATTTAAAGACTTGTTTTTGGTTTTTTTTTGTTGTTTCTTGAAACATCTCTGAAGTTTACTGTTCACTTACTTTAATAAATTGTTTGCTTCAGTCACCACTTCATAAAACTTAAGTAGGCAAAAATGTTTGTTAAGTCCTGCATTGCATTAAGTTATATTGTTTTCTTTCCTTGAGATATGGTGTGTGTGAATATACTTCTCATTATTTTAATTTGCATTGTCTCTGTCGCCCAAACCCATAACGACTTGATCCCCTTTTCATAGTTCCTTATTTTAACATGGAAAATTGTGAGTTCTGGACAGGAACATTGAGTATTTTCATACATATGTAGGCACATACGACATGGCCTTCAGCCTGTACAATTCACGTTGTAGTTCTGATTACCTTTTTTTCAGGAAAAGAAGGATGGTGCTGGCCTTTCAACACTGAAATTGGTTGACTCTGCCAACCTGAGGGCAAAAGCTTTTGCCTTTCTGCTTATTTGCAAGGCACCTTGTGGTCCCTTGCTGCTGACCCTGTGTGTCTGTGTGTTGTAGTTACACAGTCAATGCAGAGGTGAAGCCAGTGTCACTGTGCTAAACAGACAGATCACTCTGGCTGGGCTCTAAATAGTAGCAAATTATAAAGGCATCTTTGAGCTGGGGTAATGCACAAACTGGAGTTAAGAGTGGGCTGTCACCTGTCTGTCTGAGAAGTATTGTATTTTTAAAGTTTTGATTGAGACAGTATTTTTATAGGTCTGTGTCTATAAATAACATAAACATTGATGCTTGTGTGACATTGTGAACATCCTTCCATGCACCTCCTGCAGATCATAAGCTGATCTCATTGTTCAAGAGAATGTCTGCTATGTTCTTGCTGACAGAATATGTGCAAATATTCCTGAGGTCTCTTCTTATTCTGCTACCAAGAACCAGATTATATTGGAGTATGGATATCTGTGGGGTGCATAGTGGCCTGGCTGTCTCTTCCTTGTTTAATTTACAGTGCATGTTGTGGAGCGTGGTGTTAAGGAACTTAAAGTTTTAAGGCAGATATTATTTGAGAATTTTGAATCTGCTTAAATAAATTTGTTCAGTGCCGGTAGTGAATGACTTGGAAATCATGCAACCAACTTGAGTATGCTAAATTAACATGCTGTTCTTTCCAGACTGCCATGCAAAATGATAACATGATGGATTTTATGCCATTGAAAATGTAACTCAGAACTCAAAATACATCTAGTACTATTGTAATCCAAATTACCAGGGCTCATTCATGGTATATTTCAGATAATATTTGTTTTGCTACAAGTTTAGTTTAGTATTAATTTTGGATAGAGTCTTGAAATGTCTGTATATCACTATATGGCGTCTTTCTGTACAGGTCAATGTAAGTACAAACATCACATGTTTAAATCACAAGATCCTTCACCCTTATGTGCTTAGGTAATTAACAAAACAGCATCTTTCTTTTATTATTAAACAGTAAGTTTTCTGGAGAGTTTAGGAACACTCAAATAATCTGATAAAACTGATGGAATTAAATACTTTTAGCCACCTGATTTTTGCTTCCTTTTCCATTCTGCTTTCATCCAAACTACTTTTACAGTAACTTCTGAATGCCTCTTGGGGAACTATTTGAGGTCTTCTGGGCACTGTTTGGCTAGTATGGTAAATTGGAACTATTTTGTGAAACCAATAAAGTGGGAAGGGTGCATGCCACAGGGAATTTGTTCATTTGGTTCCTTGATTACCTGCAACCATCCAGCCATTACATCTGGGACCCTTATTGGAACCTCTTCACTGCAGCCACGCAGCATCTTAGTCGGCAATACCAGCTCTCTGAAACAGTGGAATTAACCTGGGCGCTGAAAAGCAGGTGATATATTTTTTTTGTGTGTATGGCTTCTGCTGGAGGCAGGTTCTGAATTCTAGAGCATTTTGTCTGTCCTGCCTTGTCTTAGAGAAGTGTTTCCTTCTGTTCAATTTAGGAATCAAAAACTACTAATGAAAAATCGAGAGGTAGAAGCCCGAAGCCAGCAGAATCCTCTTCACAGTCCTCCAAACATCCTTTCCAGTTGGCCAATATTTATGAATATTATGATGCAGGGAACCACTGGTGCAAAGACTGCAATACCATCTGCGGGACCATGTTTGACTTTTTCACACACATGCATAATAAGAAACATAGACAGGTATGTTGCAGGCTTCCTTCACTAAGTGCATTTCATATTGCTGTGAATATTAGCACTAAAACATACATCATAGAACTAAATTTACAAGAGAACCTGAAGTAATAACGAACCCAAGAATTAACTTATAAATTCTTTTCCCCTAATGTTGGGCTTGAGCAGTTGTTCAGCTACTGGTGGATTCCAAATAGTATAAATGGGGCCTGTGTTCAGTTTGCTCGGGTTTGCCACTTGTGTTTCACATGTTTACCTGTTCTTTGCAGTCATTTACATTTTACACTTTTCACAGGTTATTTTGTCATTGTAAATTGCAAAGTGGGAGGGAAAAGAGAGGAAAATAAGTTGTTGTAAATATTTGCACGTTGATTTTAATGTTCAGTGCTCTAAAAAAATATTAAAAAGGAAAAAGACAAGTGTACTTGACTTGCTAGTGTAATATATGAGCCTATATACCTCTGTCACTGTGCAAATAGACCCTGGATCCTTACAACAGACCTTGGGCTTCGAAGACCCAGAGCGAGACCAAACAAGAGTCCATAAAACGCATTGATAAGATAACGGTTCCTGCCAAAGGTATGTTGATTTTTATTAACTTGGCTGTCATCCTTCTTTGCCCTCCAGCAAGTCCCACTTGCTCAGAGAAAGGAATTTTCAAAACTTTACCTTGGTATAGGACCACATATAGATAATGTATTATTAAGAAAAAGGCAAATTATTTAGTTTCTTGATGGTTCTTGTGTAAAAGGTCTTGAAGCAAGAGTGTAGGAAAAGTGTGGTTTCTTCTCTTTTTAGAGATTAGTTTTTTATTTTGAATACCAGTTATCTTTCAGTGTAGTTCTGAAATAATTTTTGCAAATATATTAGAATTCAGAGCATGACCACAATAGTTGGCAGTATTTTGGTAGATCTTGCACAGTATTCCACACAGTCTTGTAGAAGACTTTTCCATTCAGTACATTTTTAGCAGAGGTCTCCCTGAAAATTGACTGATGAGTACTTGTTATAGTGCAGATACAGAGAATCTGAGACACATATGGAAGGAGCTGTAACTGAGTTGAAAATTAATATAGATTTAAAATATGAACATCTAAAAGGCCTGCCAGTGATCAACTCATTTTATTAATCTGTTGTATATTTCTGGTAGTGTCCAGTAAAGAAGAATCTGCAGTGTCTTAGATAACTGTAGCAGGTTCTGTAGGCACAAGGACGCAATCTTGCTGAACTTCAACAAAAATATTTGTGTTTGGTTTATAAACCAGGTGTTTAGTATTTAAGCAGACTATACCAGAAAGATGGAAAATAGATCAAGGCTGTAGGAAATGTTAACCTACTTGAATACTCGATTACCTTAATTCAATGAAGAGCACTTAAATCTTGAACCATAATAATAAACTTCTTCACTTTGTATGTTTGTTCCTGGTAGTGGGGGTTCCTATGTAACTGTAAGGAGAGCAGCATTAACTGTTCCAAAAAGAACATTGCTGGAGGTTTTGCTGTTGTTCTTTGACCAACTTTGTTAAGAGCTTGGCATTTATTAGGTTTTGTTTCTCTGATAATTTTCTTTGGCCTTTTCAGGCTCTGAGTTTCTGATTCCCATCACTGGATATTATTGCCAGCTCTGTCATGAATTTTTTGGAGATCAGATCTCAGCAGAGCAGCATGTGAAAAGTCATCCCCACAATGAGAAGTATAAGGTTGGTAACTGATGTACTAGGAAAGAGACATTCCCTACCTTAGCTTCTGCTTGTTCTGTCTCCTTTCCTGAAGAATGACATTTAACTCTTGAAGTATATGTATTTGGTTATCTTCATTACATTCTACTGAGCTATATAAGCAGAACTTCCCACTACACCAGTACATAGAGATATTTTATCTGCATGAAGCTGAAACATGTCTACTGTAAAGTGACAGCACTGCTGCAAGCAGTTTGTAATACCTCAATTTCTTGGTAGGAGAAAGTTCCCTGTTCTCTTAGTGTTGAGATGGCACTTACTGAGCAAGTCAGAATTGTCAGAGAGCTGCATTTATTTATTTATTTTTCATGGAAATGAAAAATGGTGGCTAAAATGTTGCTGTTTATTTCCACAGAAATACATAGATGAAAACCCACTCTATGAAGAGAGGCGAAATCTGGACCGTCAGGCTGGACTGGCTGTGGTTCTGGAGACAGAGCGCAGGCGGCAAAACGAGCTGAAACGGAAACTGGTTGAGAAACAGAAGGAAGAGAAGGATGAGAAAACCCCAAAACTAATAAAGAAGGAGGAAGTAAAGAGCATCCCAGAGTCAGGAGAAGGGAATAATGAAACCCAAGGCAAAACAGATTCTTCTGGGCGAAAAATGGGTATTACGGTAAAGCTAAAGAAGGAAGAGAAGGCAGAAGAGAAGAAAGAAGAAAAGAAAGAGGAATTGAAAAAGGAACCACCAAGCCAGACCTCCTTTGGAAAATTCAGCTGGAAAAAGACTGAGAGAGAGGATAAAATGCCAGGAGCTGTTACAAAGGAAGAGAATACAGAAGGAAACAAAGAGGAGAACAAGTGTCAATCTTTGAAATCCCATATAAAGCCCATTGAAATCAAGCTGTCTGGGAAAACTGTTATTCCACACACTAGTCCATGGATACCAGTTGTTTCCACACCGACACCAACAAAAATTCTTCCCAATTTACCAGTCCCCACCATGATTTTCAGGAAGTCTAATACTGCAACAGTTAGTAAACCACCACCTTTGAACACCTTTTTATCCATAAAATCCTCTGGAACTACCACCAAACCACTGCCAGTGGTAAAAGAAACAAATGCAGATCTTCTGCTGCCTCCAGATATCATATCAAAAGCTTTTGGAGGAGAAGAAGTAATTTTAAAAGGCTCAGGGGAGGATTTGAAAGCAGCAGAGAAAAATGAGTCTTCTCAGCCTGCAGATAGACTACCTCCACCAGCAGTCCAGCCAGCAGCTCTCATCCCTGCAGATGAAGTAGCTCCAGGTGTGTCTGAAAGTGAACAGACAATGTTGGCAATGCCTGTGAGACCACCACCACCGTCAACTGCTTTCAGTGAACAAGCAAAAAAGATAGAGAAACGAAATTCTTGCTTGGCCACAGCCAATGCTAAAGATCTCTATGATATTTTCTACAGTAGTGGTGGAAAGGGTTCAGCTGACAGCAAGCTTGCAAGTTCTGCGCTTCCAAATGGAGAAAACCCTAACATAACAAAACCTGCAGATTCATCTGCAACTCACAGAACAAATAGTAGCTCATCCTCATTGAAAGAGGATTCTGAGGCTGTGGATTCCTCACAGTGTAATAGTCACATGACAGGGAGTTTGGTTCCTGTTGAAAATCAGGCTGAAATGAACAAGAAGTCACTTCAGCCTCACCTATCAGAAATGTCAGTCACAGAATTACCAGGAAAAAAACCTGTTTCTGGTATCCAGATGCCTGCAGAAATTGGACTTGTTGATACAGGAGGTGGAGAGCAGGCAGGCAGGCTGGAATTCTGTGATCTACAGAAATCTGAGGTCCAAAAGAAGGTTGGACAGGAAGATGGAAATAAAACTCCAGTTACAAACACAAATGTTCCTGGTACCTTGGAGACAGAGACAAAAGACTGGGAAATAAAAGCAGGAAAGCCTAAGCATAGTCTACACACAAAGACTTTGTTACCTGAGACACAGAGCGAAATTAAAAGTTTGGGAAATTCCCATTTGGTGAAGTTAAATGATAACTGTAGAACTCACTTAGAAACTGATAGTCCAGACTTGCTCTGGGGCACTTCCAGAACTAGTAATGGAAAAGAACAGATAGTCACAACTCATTCTTGTTCTGAAAGTAGTTGGGATCTATCAAATACTCCAAATCCAGAAATAAAATCTGGTTCTAATGAGGTTGATGCTTCAGAATTGACAGAGGGACAGACAAAAACTAAAAGTACCTTATTAGAAGCTCAAGAAAAAGTTAAACCTAAACCTTCGGGCCATACGGTGTTAGATAACCAAACCCAGAAGCAGGGCGTTGAACGGTTAGTCAATACCTGCTCAAACATTGCTGAACTCAGATCCAATCTTGAATTAGTAGCTGAAAATGAAAAAAAGTCATTAGGACACACTGGATCTGATGCAAGATTAGATAATTTTCTTTTCAAGAGACCATCAGAGGATGTGAAACACATGAAGACTCCCTCCCAGAAAGCAGAGCTTGAATTGAAAAGCACTGATTTAAATCTGGGAGACAATAAGGTAAAACATGAATGTTTCAGCATCCTTTCAGAAAGACTTTTAAAGGAAAATACAGAAGAAGTAAAAAAAATAGAAACTATTGCGTCCATTAGGCTAGAGTCCAGTAAACTTAAAAAACTGGGCATTGAAAGAACAGTGAATGAAACAGAGATTACTGATTTTACTACATTGACTTCTGATAGTTGTGAAGATAAAATTTGCACACGGATTTCTCAGAAACCTATGCTGCAGCCTGGATCACAGACCTCAAATAGTGACACTACAGAAGTGGTCATGCCAGTTCTAGAAATGCAGGGCATTTCTCCCACGTCTGAGATACTTGTGCAAGTGAAGGGGAGCAAAGGTGGCACTGTTGAAATGCTGTCTCTGAGTTGTGACAGAGGCAGCACAGAAAGTCAGGCTTCTGGGTGCGTGGAAACTTTAATGCCTGGGCTCAAAGAAACACATGGGAAGGTGGGTGGCTCAGGAGGCAAGGGAATGTGCACCATCCAGAGCAAGAAGACTGAGCAAACAGAAGCTCCTGACAGTAGTTTGGAAGCTACAATGAAACCAGGAATTTCTGAAAGCATAGCAGAAAGCCCAGTGGGTTGAAGTAAACCCAGCCAGTCCCAATATTTGAGGAGCCAGAGCTGGGATTATGTATATGGTTTTTGTTTGTTTTTCTTTTTGTTCCAGCTGAGAGTTTTGGGTGTGTTTTGCATTCTGTGGTAGGACTTGACTAAAGTGAAACGTAAATCATCAGAAGGCAGTCACATACTTTATTCTGTTCATAATTAATTGTGTAAAATGTTTTTTCATGTGAATTTTGTTGCCAATTTCTTTTCTACACTCTGCTATTAAAATGGAATCTCGTTTATAAAGCGTGCGTCTTCTTTATTTTGGGGGCTTTTGTTCTTTGACCATTCCTGGTCAAAGATTTCCAGCTCACCCAGTTTGTGTCAGTAGCACCGTGAGTAGCCCAGCTGCTGAGACAAACTCAAGAACAGCAATTTAGAACTGAGGAAATGGAGACTTTCAGAAGAACTAAAACCCAAAATTTCTTTGAACTGTAATGCATGGGTTCGATTCCTTTTGTTTTGAAATGCAAGAATGTGTTCAGAGTTGATTTTATTTGTCTGTTTTATCTGTCTCTGTGCTTTGTAATTCCTGTTGTATTACATCTGTACTTAAGGTGTTTCAGTGTATTGTATAAGCACATGTATGGATGGCACATCACTAAGCAAGGGGAGAAAATCTGTCCCGACTGGCTTTTGGAGAAGAAAACCAATCGGTAAGGCTCTGTGGCCTGACACCTGGACCAGACATATTGAGGTCACTTACATGATTTGAAATGGGCTTGCTTTCATTTTATTGTGATCCAGTAACTATTTGTGTTAAATCATTTAGCAGCTGACCAGCTCTGAAGAAGTAGAAGATCAGAACCCTGGTGTCAGGAATTGGACTCGCTTCATGTGATACAGACACATGCATGCCTACCCTGAATGGTCCCTGAACTATTGAGTGTGATGGTTCTCATTTGTATAGCTTGTTAAAGACTAAAGTATTAAATGTATTTCCTTGGATAAATATAACATTTTTATTTGTAAATTGTTTAAAAAATAAACATATGAAGGTCAACAAGGCTTTCTTCTTGATTTTTTTTCCTTAACTCATTAGAAGTGGTTTTTTTCAATTAGTTTCTGACTCCTGTAGTAGTTGATAAAATTGAGAAACTGTAGAGGATGAAGATACTCAACAGTTAGCCTTCTCAGTAAAAACCAGTTTATTCTCAGCTGAAGTCAATGGAAGAACTACTGTCAACATCATCAGTGGAAGTCTGTTTGAAGTCCTGAACCCTGTGTAAAACCAGAGGTGGGGCATCAGGGAGGGACGCCAGCAGAGCTTGAATTTCTGTAATCACTGCCTGCACATGGACCTCTGGAGAAGGCAAAATCACCGTTTGTCTTCGTTTTCCATAACTGTGTGTGAGGAAGGTATGAAATGTTTCTCAGAGTCTTGCAGTGTTTTCATACAAGAAATATAAGAACTGTCTAAGCTGAATTTGGAAATCTAGTATAAGTGATCAAGTCAACAGTAAAAAGATAATTCAGAAGAGAAGAGAGTTTTGAGAAAATCTCTTTGAGCTGGTTTTGTGATGTTAAGCAGTTACTGCATTGAATATAGGAAATCTTTGTTAGTATTGTTGCCCTACTTTCATCAGGTAGCTGATTGACTGTCAAAACCAAAGCAAGCAAGGTTTGACATGCTTTGATAGTTTAAAATGGAGTTGGGCAATGAGTAGAGATTACTTTAATCCCGATTTATAAAAAAGTCCTTTGTAGTTACGTCTTGGTTTTCTCCTGTATTTTTTGTCATATACTTGAGTTTGTTTGTTTACATTTGACAGATAAATTTTTCCCAATGTTTTTCCCAGTTTTTTCAGTAAAGTGCTTGGTTTCTTGTAAATCCACAGAGGAGGAGGGGAATTGATTTTCTTACCTGCCTTATATTGAGAGATATAATTGCAGGGAAGGGAAATATTGAAGGGAAGGCTGAATTTTTTTAGAGTTCTGCACTTTAGATAGTGCTGTTTTGAAGTACATGCTTTCTGGTTAGTTTCCTTCTGCAGATTGGTTTTCATGAAGGTTTCAGTGCATACAGTGGCAAACAGTAATCTGGGCAGTCTCCTTCAGACAACCTTATTTAATGCTGTGTTATCTGTGTGGAACTTAATTTTAAAAATTATTTTTGGGGAAAGGACAATATAATTCTGTTATCCTTGTTCTGTGCTCTGCAGTTGCTTCTACAAGTAGTGGTTGTGGTCAGTGCTGAACGTGGCTGGCCATGAATGGAGAGGAGCTAGTGCCAAGCAAGAACTTTGCAAAGGAGAAACTGGAAGTTGTTACCCCATATGTGTCTAAAGCTTTCCAGAATATGAATTTTCCTGTGGTCCAAATTAAATACCACTTCTCTTCATGCCCTTTAGTCTATCTCTGAGAGCAGGTAGGGCTCTTTACTCCTGGAAGGAAGATTAACTTGGTCTCTTTTGGGGAAGAAGTAAACAGTAATCCTTGAACCTCTGGAATGGCCAAGAACATGATGGGTGGTGTAGGTGATGATAGGCAGATTGGCTGACAGAGGCATTAACACTGTAATTTCATTAAATGGCATGTATTTTTATTTATGTATTTTTTCTTTTCTTCTTTCTTTTTTTTCCTGTTTTTTTTCCCTGTGGTTTCCAGAGGCTTGCAGTAAATGATTTATCCACTGTGCTCGTTCCCTGTGCTGGCAGAGCTGTAGCATAGTGCACTGACTGGGAAGCCTTGTTTCTAGGCTGGCCTTGGACTCTTCCAGATCCTCAGGAGGAGGGGTAAGTTAATGGGGATTTACTTGTCTGTTTGAATGGTGCAATACATTACCTCTCCTTCCTGACATACTTCTCTAAAAACTGCACAAAGCACAAGAAGTTACCTTTTTCCTGGTTTTCAGAAAGCTGATAGGAAGGAAACAAATATCGTTTGAATGTTTCTATCTTTACACTACTTCAAACCAGGCACAAATACCTAGTAAATTTAAAGAACAATGGATTAACTCTTAAATGATTTGATGCTGTAACCTTTAGTTTGTCATGATGTAGGCTAGCACATCCTTTCTCCTGGATGAAGATTGCTGCAAAACCAGGCTTGATTAAGAAGCAGTGGGAGAAGAGAGGTAGAAAAGCTGCAGTCATCCTATCAATCTGTTTTTAGGCCAGGTGGGTTTTTAATTCATCTTCCAGTCTCTTTGAATATACGTTTGGAAAGGAGAAGAAATCTTCAAATGTTTTAGGCAAAACACAGTAAATTTTCCTGGGGTAGTCAGTTGGGTAGGTAAACATTGCTTCTGTCTTGCTGGAATCTTGTCTTTGACTAAGTTTTAACTAAGCAGTAGATAGGCTTTTGGGGGGGTTTTTGTTTGGTTTAGAATTTTAAATAGCATGTGAGCAGGGAAGAAATGTAGTAACTATCATTTTGTTACTAAATTTTTTCCAAATGTATTTGTGCTCTAGTGCTAAAAAGTATAAGAGATTATACTTTTATATTAGTAGATTAAGATATGAGGTCTCTGCTGTTTGGCAGAATTATCATGCTGTTTCTGGAATCATCATCCCTGGAAGTATTCAAAAGACATTTGGATGTGGCACATGGGTCAGTGGTGAACTGACCCAGTGGTGCTGGGTTAATGGTTGGATTCAAAGATCTTAGAAGTCTTTTCCAATCTTTGTGGGTTTATGATTCCTTAATTTTTGCCAAGGGTGGAAATAAATGCCTAATTCTTATCTAAGAGAAGCTTCACAAAGAACTTAAATTTTTTCATGGAAACAGTAGGGAATGTGGGCAAAGGTCAATTATTTTTTTATCCTGGTAAACCCCAAACAGTTTTTAGAAATACCTATGAAGTAAGTGATGGTAGCAGCAAAAAACCACAACCATCCACCAAGCTAGTGCATCCCATGACAGAACTATATTTCTTTAGTGCAGAGAGCAAGAGAAGCCACCTGAGACAGGTTTTCATGTGGTGCCTGATGTAATACTGTGCTGGTTTATTATTATTATTATGTTCTCTCAGAACATTACAAAAGGTTAAAGGGAGCAAAATCATTCTCTGAGACAGACCTCAGTCCTTTTGTGCCTGCTGGGTTATGTACAAACAGCCTACGTGCCAGCAGTGTGGGAGTACAAAGCAGCCATAAAATTTATTTTACTTGACTCCTCTGCTTCTGTCTGGCACAAAGAAGAAGAGGGAGATGCAAGTTCTGGTTGCTAGACTACCCTTTCTGTCAGCTATTTTCAGACAATATGGATGTATTCATGTTTGTGACCAACTTGAGCAGAATAGCCCAGCTGCACACTGTTGTATTCTGCCTTAGAGCAGAAATCCAAGGCTCCACAGTTAGGTTCTGGGTTTTGTTTTCTGATCCCACCTCCACCTCTTCTTGGGCTGTCATCTTGTTTGTGATGAGAAGGCTGATTACTGTATGGTAGCAGTTCTAGGCTCTGGTAAAATGAGTCAAGCTGCTGCTACAATTCCCGTGAAGCTGTCCATCAGTGATGGATGCAGAGAGCAGAGCCATTAGAATTGGTTGGGCAGGTGGTGGAGAATAGTTGAACACCTGCAGGAAATAAAAGCTGCATCAGAGCTGCTTCAAGGCAAACAGTATTCCCTTCTCCAGCAGCCTCACTGAAGAATCTTCATTTTACAGATGGTAGAGCACACAAGGTGATGTTTTCAATTCTTAATCAAATACAGTTTTTTTTCAAGAAGCTGCTTTTGTGGGGGAGTTTCAGCCACAACCTAAGTAACACTGAAATACTACAAGCCATTTGTGTTACCACCCTGTTTAATTTCCTTACAAACTTTAGATGAATGTAGAAACAAAATAATGCTTTAGGAGCCGTGGTAGCTGTGGTGGATGAAAAGCCCTGTAATAGCTATCTGGTAAAGAAATTATAGGGATGGTCTTCATATCAGATCTCACATTAAGCTGCATTCATACCCTGTCAGAGATGAAAAAAAACAGGAATTAAATGTAAGTGCCAATAATTAGATGAGAGGAGTCTTGTAGCTAGGCACCTGCAAGATGGGTATTTAGACATGCTTGATTAGTGGGGAAAAAAAAGTCCATTAGCAAAGGAATATCTGTCACTGCATTTTCTCTTAAGAACTGAAGGTTTAATGCAATTAAACCCATTTAATGTGTTGCTTTCCAGGTACTGTTTAAATTTCATGTTCTCTGCTAGTTAGTTTCATGTGTTACATTGCTTCACCAAGGTGAGGCAATGGTTCAAAATCACTGGGTCCCTGTTGTGTCCGAGCTAGGGTTACAAAAGTAATTCACACTTCTCTTGAATGTATTCAGTGGAATGAAGTCATGCAATGGGTTCAGTTTGGCTGGGTGAAAAAAAAATCCCGTATTTGCATTGCTATAGTCCTTCATCATTCACATTTGATCTGTCTGGCATTTGATACAAAATACAGGCACGGACAACCTGCCTCAAGCTGTTACAGTGTCTACAGGAGAGAGATCATCCAAGATCGTAAGTGTAATTACTTCTCCAAGAGTCCAATTTGTGCTTCAGAATACAAGAAAGGCTTACAGGTTGAAGGTTTATTTCAAGTTTGTAAGATGAACCCTTATGCTTTATATGTTTAGCATCCTAGACTAAAGTATCAAATACATGGCTTTTAGTTATCCTACTTCCTACAAATCCCTTCTCCTAGGGAACTGTTTAGCTTCACAGTGTTCATTGACAGCTGTTTTTATTTTGTATTGTGCTTGTGTTATGACCCATCCCTGAAAGTGTGGTAAATGAGGTTCCTGTTAACAGTACATCCCTTGGGGTGGGTTAGAGTGAAATGGCATAAAATGACCAGTGTTTATAAATATATATAAACACTGGTCATATAAATAAATATATATTGTATAATATATATATTTATAATATATATTTATTATATCATATATATTTATATGATATAATAAATATAATAAATATATATTTATAATGATAATAATAAAACAATTTGGTTTGATTATTATCTGTAGAAATACAACAATACAGATGCATAGAAATAACTTGTAAAAAATGTATGAAGAAAACAAGAGAGAAAGGATAGGTGAAAGCCTCAGAAATAAGTTTGAGGGCACTTTGGAGGTCTCTGTGGTTTATGACATGACAGCTGCCTCTCATCACAGCCTATTTTATGCCCTGTCTTGAGGGATGAACACCTTCAGGCCTGTGTTGGAATGTCCCAGCACCTCCCCAGCTACCCACTTCCAAAGGGTCTTTTTATCACCCTTGTCCCTTATCTGGCTCAAACCCCAGCTGTAGCCCCTCTGCACCTGCGCTGTGATGATGCACATCTCAGCAAGGGCAGCCAAGGGCCTGATTGTTTGAGTCATTGTCCATTAACATTCCAGTCCAGCAGCTTGACAAATTCCTTCCAGACCAGCTGTTTAGCTGTTGAAGGGTTTTGCTGCAGAGGGGAGAGAAACAATTAAAAGGGCCTAAGATTTGGGATTGTAACAGTCAAACCCACCAGATGCTCCAGCAAGTGGGATTTTAGGATGAACATCTTTTGCTGTAACAAGTCTTTCCCTCTTTGTATCTTGATTACTTTCCACAGGAGCTAAGAAAATGTTATCTTGACTTCCCAGACTTCTGGAAACCTGTTCTGAGAAGGTGAGTGCAGATTTGCATGACTGGAATGGTATCTTTTGCTCCTCTCTTTGGAGGGCACATTCTTTTTCTTATTATTACTGTGACTAATCAGTGAAACTTTCTCTGTATTCTTACTGGTTAAACCTGCTGGTCATGGGTATGGCTCTGATTTAAGTTCTTTTGTCAGCATCCAAGAAGACTCTGTATGTGTGGATTCCTTTCTCTTAATTAAATAGTGTTTTTTTTAAAAACAAACATTAAAGTTTTTATGAAATTGTACTGATTCCTGATTGTTGTTTGTTTAAAAATTATTCTCTAAAGAGGATTTTAAAAGTGCAGGCTACTACGAGGTATTAATAGTGGCAAGAGAGGGTGCTGGATTCTGAAGTTTCTTGATTCATAGAGCCTTTACAGACCTTTCTACATCCCTTGGAAAAGCTGCTTAAAGTAGGGAAAAAGGCTTTTTAAAGCTCCTGTCTCTATACTTAATTTGGAATCTTGCAGCTATTTTTGAACTCAGCTACCCTGTTAAATTATTCATGCAAACTTCTTTGTCATGTGTTCACAGAAGTGCCTTGTTAACTCTTGTCACAAGTATTTCATCTCAAGGGAAGTGGTGTTGTGTTTCACCAACAGAAATATCCTGACAGCAGCTGCCAGGCATGTAAAAGAATAAAGACAGCCCGTGCTTATTTTTTTCCCCAAAGATTTATTATAACTGTTGATTATTCTGGAAAATCATGTGTGAGAGATCGCTTTACAATGTGTAGATAGAGTCATCCTGCTTTATATATAACTAAAACCCCACAAACCAGCTTGTTGCTGCTGCTCAAAGAAGAACATTTTAGAAATTCTAATTTTTGCCACACAAACTTAACGCAGTCAGTCATACCCATGGGTATAATCCTAAGTATTGAATTGTCAGCTCTTAGCCTGTTGTGTTATAGATCCACTTTCTCTTTCTCCTTCCTTAATTGCTGCTGCAGAAGCTGACTGGTAAACTAATTACTGTAGCACTGACATCCTTTGGCCAACAGAGGTGTAATCCAGGGTGGATTCAAACAACCTGCTTAGAAAGGATGGCCTCTATTTTAATCATAATTAAAACAACACAGCAACAGAGATCCGGCTGCTCCAGAAAATATTCAGGATCATGGGCTGTACAGCTAGTGAAAAAATGGTTTGCCACACAAAGGCTGCATTTTAACCGTGTTCTTTAGCAGAAATGACCTCCTGCCTGCAGTAGAAGTGTTGGTTGGAGTTGACTAACCTGGTAGCCCACCAGAAGTGAAGCTGCTTGTCTCACCAGGTCCAGGCAGCATGGAGGCTGTGTGTGTACTCCCAGTAAGCAACAAACACATGTATGTGTGTGCATATGGCCAGGCACACAGACAAACACATAGAAAACCAGAAAACAGCACTTCTGCAAATGGAAACAGGACCAATGCCATTTATCAGTAGAAACTGCTTTCTTGTAACTTGATTGGAGGTCAGGAGTTGCCATGCCACACCCCCTCAGCACCAAGCTTTTCCATTCCCAACTGCCCCATGCAAGGGACACATGTGCAGCCTTCTTTTCACTTGTCCTAGACAGCCCCGCCTGTCTGATGGCAGCAGTACAGGGGGGAAGGGAACTATGGGGAGAACAGAGGACATCTAAACCACAATAACATAACTATACAACACTGAAGCTTTTCTTAATAGTCACACAATAGTTATCTTTTAATTGTGAGAGCCAATCATCTCATTATCCATCTATAACAGAAGCACCCACAGGCTGTGGATCTGCTCTATAAGCAGCCTTGGGCAGTGCCCCTGCCAGCTGGCCCTGGCACCCTCTGCTTTCTGATCCTCTCATGCAGAACCTCATGGCACAGCAGTAAGGACTGAAGAAAGTCCAGAGAGATGAAAGTAGTGAGAAGGTGGGTGAGTAGTAGGGGAAGTGTCATATGTCATTGTCCTGCTCTTGGTCTTTCATGGTATCTGCTTTCCTTCAGTACCACCAGCAGCCATTGGGCTAACCAGGGCATGCTCTGAGCCAGAACTGCCATTCCTTAATAGCTGGCAAACCCAGCTGGCAGACAGTGGGCTTTTAGCTGCAGCACAGGGGCTGGATTCTGTTGCATCCAGACACTGAAGAAGCTGCAGCATCCTCAGAAAATTAGTAAAATTGATTTTGATACAAAAGTGCTTAGCAGCATTTCACCACTCTACTAGACTTGTGTGTTTCATACTGTTCTGCAAGTACAGATTTCATATTTCATGTCTCTGTCATGGGATTTTTGACAGCCACAGAGCCAACCTGAGGTGGGGTGGTGTAAACCATGTGAAAATAATTAGTCTGTAATGAAACCAAGTCTGCCTTAGAGTTGTTGGTTTTGGCTAGTTTTCCTATGGAAGTGAGGTTTAAACCATCAGGGTGTGTGTCTTCAGTGACCTGGGCAAGTCCAAAAAGCCTCCTGCACACTGGTGGCAGGTTCTTTTGGTGCAAAGCTGAAGGAGGGGCTACAGCCTAACTTTATTAGCTGTGAGAGAATATGCACAGGAGGAAGTTGTTTATCTTCAGTCAGAGCTCACAGCATCTCAAACGCCAAAACCAATCAATCACAAAAGGCAAGTACACAGGAAACCATGTGTCTTTGTTTAATGACAGCTATCAGCCAAGCAGTGGAGCACCTCACACCTCTCAGAATAAATATATCTCAGGCCATGCATGGGCTGCCAACTTCCTTAACCTCTACTAACAGCCTGGGAGCACCTGACCAATATCCACCACACACAGCCCCATCCCTCCGGGGCTGAAGGGGCCAGGGGGTGTTTACAGGGGTCCCATGAAGAGGACAGCAACAGTCTGGGCTGGTTTGCTTCTTCCCATAGGAGAAACCAGTAGTACCTGGCTTTTCCAGTGGTGGCACAGTGCAGGGAGTCACGTATGGCTCCAGCCAGGATGCTGCAGTCCAGCTGCCTGAGGGACACTGGACTCCAGTGTTCCAGCTCTCTGTGAGTGAGGGAAGTAGGTGTAACAAACCTAGCCCAGCGAGAGAACAACCCAAGGGGAGCTGAGCTCAGTTCTGCAGCTTGACGAGTCTGCAGAGCCTTGTGTAGGCTAAGGAAATCTGCCCCTTCCCTGAGCCAAAAGCCCAAGAGGCTGCTGCTTTCAGAAGTAATCTGCCTGCAGAGCTCTGCATCTCACTGTGCAACAGCAAACTGCTCAAGACAATATCATTTTGTTCAAGAAGCACTTGTACTCAAAAACTGTCCAGTGTCAAAATTAATTTCTTCTAGGGGGGCCAGGATGCTGCACAGTGGCCATTCACACCTCCCATGCCTCCA